CACTTCAGTATCCATGCATATTATGATCAGTTCTGAGGAAGTGAAGTAAGCCGGAGACAAATTCCAGATGGCTATTCGTAAATTAGCCTTCTGGTTTCTCCTTGGAAAACCCTCAGGAGGAACAACCCTGAGGTAGATGGACCAGTTGCCTTGCCAGAACACGGCAACTTTGCAGGACATTTCATTTGAAAGAACCGATTAGACAAACAGAACTATACCTCATCCAGCTCCTGAGATGGTTTGTTGATCACATCAGCCCATCCATATAGGGACAGCAAAAATTTTAAGAGAGGGAAACAAAAGAACAGGACAGAGCACAGGGTACAGTCAGTGGAAAGAATGCAAGTATTTCATTGATCAACATCGCCAGATTATCATAGAAAACAAAACAATCTTTTATAGCAGTATCAGCTTTCAAATAGATTTGGCATTTAGCCTTGGGGATAGTTGCATATTTTCCCCTTCAATATATTTCAAATCGTGTTCTTGATCTGTAAAGAAATATACATTTTAGGAGCTTTACATAACAAGCTTTTAAAAAGTTCATTAAGGAAATAAAAGGAAAACCAAGGTAGGCCCTCACAGCACAGTACTGCTAATTCTTAATATGATAGTGGAACCAGAACTTTCTTCTTAATCTAACAAATAAAAGAAGTCATTCAATTCAAACTTATTCACTGAATCCAAGTTTAGGGGATCTGATTCCAATTAATTCAGTTACATAACACTTGGTAATAACATAGTAACCATGAGAGATCTAAAAATGATCCATTGGTTTATATATGTATGGAAACACTGTAATGGAACAGTTTAGGAATGACTTATAAAATACACCTGAATGCAAGCTAGGTTCCTAAACAGGAAAAAAAATCAAAAGATTACATGCAGATAATTCATTACCAAAAGTCTATACAGGCAGTGTTTGTTACCAATCTCTTGATTCTAAATTGGAATTAGTTTCAGAATCAAGTGTGGCCAACCTGGAACCAAGACAATTCTCACATTCAACATTGTTCCCATTTTTAAGGAGAAAGGTGCTCTACACAGGAAATTGCACTAATGGATTTCCCAATTAGCAGGACTAGATGAACTCTGAGGTGCTTTCAACCCTACAATTTTGCTAGCTAGTCACAACTTCCAGCCCTAATTCAGTTTTATGCTTCTTGCCTCCTGAACCAAATGGAGCTCCAGTTATCCTTTCCAGCAGGTCAAAAAAGATGAGATGAGAAACAAAGCATAGTGCCAACATCATTTCCTGGGGGGCAAGGCCAATTAGAGTAAAAGGAAAACACAACCCCATTAGAAATATGATTTGTTCATGTAGGTGAAACATTTGTGAACTTTGGTATGTCCCAGCTTTCCAACAGCATCATTTTCCATACATGTTATTTATTTAAGAATGGCAGCTTTTTTTCTTTGAAGGCCAATAATTCCATATTAAGCCTGCATGCAGTGGAACCAGATAAAAATATTTTTCAGTGAGATGTTAATGAACTATTACTTATTTTGCTTGTCTGTTTTTGGAAATAAAAAGTTTGAAAATGTGTGTTAAAACCCTGATTGATTTACATAGCAGATATATTATGCAGAATTTAAAAATAAATTTCCAAAATGAATAAATGCAACAGTTTTGTTCATAATATAGGAAGTTTCTGACTTAGACTTTCATACTGTTCTGTCTTTGGAAAACCATAAGGGAAAACTTGTTGTTTAAATAATCAAATTTGCTTCCCCAAATGACTTTTTATGTAAATGTGCATAAGAAATGCATGTGAATTTATGAACAGGCGAGAGGCCTCCTGGGGGCAGTAATCTTATATATACATTCTCACTGGGAATAAACTACACAGAATTCAATGAGAGCTGATTCTAGATGAGTAAATGGAGATGGACTAAGTTACTACTTTTCATTGTTATTTACCAGATCATTCACAATACAATGGATTGTTATATTTTACATGTATCCTGCATGCACAAATGATGTAAGCCAACTCATTTGCAAACTTGTCACTATGCTATTTCTAATCGACTACTAATAGCACTAATACTAAATAGTAATCATGAAGAAACTTTTTCTGCAGTAGTATGAGTTCAGGAGGGTGGTATAAACTGGCACTAAATAGTAAGAATAGCTTAGATTCTCTCTTTGAACTTGCTGTTGTTGTTGTTGTTTAGTCGTTAAGTCGTGTCCGACTCTTCGTGACCCCATGAACCATATTGCGCCAGGCCTTCCTGTCCTTCACTGCCTCCCTGAGTTTGGTCAGTT